TGTTTATATGATTGTAGGTAGATTTATTAGATGAGGTTTGTAAGTGATGTGTTATGCCATAATGATTGACCTGAATTAAAGAGTCATTGCAAGGTGGTGCATTCAAAATTGAATGACAAATATTCATTTTTTAGAAATTACTGGCAAGTAAAAGCACTGGCAAGTTTTTATCTTGTGCTATTTTGCTGGTGGTTATTATTTATTTCGCAAAGCATGTATTGTGTTTTTCATTTTTAAATACCCGGTACAGCAATAATTTTACTCATTTCTGTTTTATGTAAACAAACATGCATACGAAAGTGGACCTTTGTTGTATATCACTGTACATACTGGTATCATAGTGGTGTATCTTCATCACAAAGTTCTTTGATAATGACAAAAAAATGCTTTTTACCATCACATTTTTATTTCAACAAATGAAGGCTGTTGTAAGACTTTTATAAACACATTATAGCAGTATTTTGGGATCATTTTTATTCCCAGAATGTGAACTTCTTGTTGGTTTCTGTATGCATCAATGAATATATAATAAAATATCTATTATCTGTGTACTTTAATTGTAAAGTTGCCAAGAATACTGACCCAATAAAGGAACCTTCTTATACCAACAAACTTGTAACATTACAATGGTTTTCTCATATTTAAATTATTATCATTTAAGTATCAATATTTATGTCATTAACAATATTACCATATAAATGGTAGGGTTTTATTTGCTGAAATATAGATGAGTGTTGTTGATTAGAAATGCTTATGCATGTGTAACCATTTGCTCTATTAGGAGTCAGTGGTGTGTGCCTATGGCCTAAAGAAGTAATATTTAAATGTCCAGTATTTGATTAAAGCAACTGATAGTTTACCTGCAATTCTAATAGAACAAATACTGTATCATGAATGCCAAATTTCAAAGTATGACTTGTCAGTACTGTTATCAGATTTACATGATTGGTCAAAATCTTCACGGTTGAGCCAAGATCAAATATAGAATTACCAATATTGTCCCAAAAATTATATTGTTTTTGAGAGATTGCTTGATATATTTCATTAATATGATGGCACAAATACCATGCATGATGGATCCTATCTCAACACCATCAGATGTGTTTCTATGGATACCGGAAATTTATACCAGTCAACTTGCATCTACACATGAAGCAGATGATGGCCAGACCCAGATCATCTGTTAACACCAACAGTCTACCATTACATCATCCATGTTCAAAGCTGAGTTGAGTACATCAGAACAGCAAATGACAGAAGAGGCAGCTGGAAGGCTCAGATTTACACTGGTATTTTGGCAGCCAAAGCTATAGTTTCTTCCTTGTCTCTTATGAGCAGTTTGAGTTGGATGGTGATTTACCTTTATCTTGTCTAGTGTTGAATTCAGTACATTCCCATTCAATACAGTATTGATAAGATACTTTCAGTCTAATAGAACACATCACTCTGTCAGATAGTGGATGAACACACAAAGACGTGTGCCAGGTGCAGCTCTCCACGTACAACCACTGCAGAGATTGATGAACGGGCTCTACATAGTGCACAGTTTTGTTAACATTTCTGGACGCACTACTTTGGTGGTACTGTCCTCATCAACCTGACAGTGGGGGTTTCCCATTATTCCACTCGGAATGAGTGTGACTGTCATCACAGATGGTTTGGGAATTAGGTGGCAGGGTGGTATTGGACATGACTTCACAGTGACTGTCACAATTTCTGGCGGACATCATAGTGAAAGAGTAACGCATTCATTGGCAGGAAATTACTGCAGTTCAAAATAGGACAGTGATGGCATATTTCAACAATAAAGGGGGAATCAAGTCAAGCAATTTATCGGTTGACATTTTTCAGTGGTGTCTGGCCAATCTGTTGAAGTGGGAGGGTCATCACCTGCGCACGCGCGGGAATTGAAACCCAAGCGACGATAACAACGCAAAGGCTTATGGGAAGAAGCTAGTTTGTAAACAATGACACGCTATGGCCATCTGACGCATGCGCAGGCGACGACTCCCCCGCTTTAATTCTCTCAACAATTCCCTGGAAGTGCGAACTGAACTCATTAGCGAATATGCTTGTCTCATCAGAGGCAAGTCAGCAACAATGAATAGCAGATAAGTCAATAATTGGCAAACCACCTGTTCAGAATATATGGTCAGAACTGATCATAAACCTATTTAAATTTGACCACTGATTAAACATCGCTCACTAATTTACCGCCACCTTGTCTTTGTTTTAGGTCTTTGCAGAATCCATTTTGAACCAAACAAGTCCGTGTTACTATATCAGTTATCATGCATGACACACTAGTCCATGCGGTTAATGATCAGCAACGATGTTTGAATGACAAACTGACTTGCATGTGCATATGTATTCCATGATATACAAGTACAAAGGTTTACGTTCATTCTTTAACAAAATTAAGAAAATCACCACCAATTAGCCATTTTTAATCAAAACGTGAAAAAAGCAACCCTGTATGTTCAATCGTCATACCAAATCTGTAGGAAATGTGTCATCGCATTTTCAAACAAGTGACTCTTATGCTAGAGAATTAAAAGCACATACATGTTATATCAAAAGAATCAGCTTGGGCAAAAGCATACAGTGTACATTATAAAAATAATTCTTATTTCATTTTCATTCTCAAAGGATTTATTTGTGTTCAATTTCAAATTTTTATACAGGAATACGGTGAAGAATTTAAATTTAAAAATATTGGCAATTTGATCAGACATGGTTCAGGTATTGCTAAAATATTTATACAAAGAATTATCAGTTGGTGCAAACTCTCGCAAGGTTATCTTTCATTGCTTAACTTTTGGATATACAAGAAGCAAAATGGCGACCAGCCCATCATGTGTTTAAACATCATACTAAATCCAAAACAAGCACATGTCAACTGTTATTACATGTCATGTAGTAACTTTGAACCAAGTCCGTCAAAGCATGCCAGAGAAACAGAAAAAAAATACTGAAACCAGACGACCGGTAATTTGAATCAAAACGTAAAAAACAAATCGGCATATTCAACAAATTGTCGGGAAAAGGTTTTGGAGCATGACATTTTTTGACATTTTAATGACTGAAATGGCCACAATTTGGTCAACAACTATCTGATTAAAACATTGATATGCGTATGTTAACTATTATGACCTGAATTTATTGAATATTGTGCCAAGTTTTGAATAATTCCGTCAGGCATATCTGAGAAACGACTAAATGGCCCCTAGTTGGCCATTTTAAAGTAGCTACACATTTGTAAATGTGTGACTTTTCCCATAGGCCTACTTATAGTATTTGTTTTGTAAATATAATGTATTGGCAAATAATAACCTTGTTGAGACAAAACTAGCTGGGAACAGGCTGACACCGAGGTTAATCAGCAGAAGTTGTTTTTCTGAATCTTCTTCGTTCAATCCAACCAATAATCATATCTGTGAATCGCTACTATCTATCTCTATATTGCATATACCCTTTTCCTGAAAATGTTTATCTTAACCCTAAATACATTACGTGATTTTAGCATAAATAAATACCCCTTCCATATGTTTTCCGTAAAGAACATGCTTAACCATCTTATGGCTAAGTGATCTGGAAACAGAAGAGAACTCTTAGAGGAACAGCATAGTAGTAATGGGTATGCAAAAAACGAGTTTTGGCACATAACAACCACTGAGTTTATAATTTTGCAGTACAAGGACATTTTAGTTATTTCATTCAGTGGTGGTAGCAGAAAATTTGTTATTTTTCTCTTACTAATATTTGTTTTCTATGTGCAGCTCGTATATTTTTTCATACTTATGCTTTTTCCATATCGTAGTACCCCCCCCCCCCTCTCCGAAGCAGTTCAAGTTGTACAGTTACTTTTTTTATTTTTCTTCTTTCTGTGAATTTTTTTTTTATATCAAAGGATCAAATCTATCACATTCTACTCGTATTGAATTAATTACTGTAACACTGTTAACTAATTAATTTATCCATGGGTCCTATGAAACACATAGACATTAGGAAATTCTGTGTCTCCTCCAAGTAATTTCAACCGTTAAATCAAATTCTGCTTAATACTAAATGCAATCTTTTTTATTTTACCTATGTAAAATTGCTTGTTACTAAGAAGAGAAAAATGAATTAAAACACGGGAATATCGATGACAAGAAAATAGCATGTTTTGTATGGTTTATGTCATTTTACCATTGTTTCCTATGGCAAGGATAGTTTCTCTATATCTCCGTCCAAATTTTGATCAGTGACGTATCTTACAATGTACTTGTTCGTGTCTAGAAGTATCGCGGGATTTTAATGACAAAGTGTGTTTTCATTGTGGCCGGTGACGACCGAAGCTAAATTGCTATTTTATGCATATTAAAAAAGAAACAGTGAAATAAGTCCACATATAGTTGAATAATAATAAAATGTTTAATTATATTAATAGTTTGGCACTGCTATATGCACCAAAAATTGAAGATATTCGCACATGCCAAAACGCGCGTGTAGCATTCTACCTTAGAATGAAATTTTAAAATTGTTTAAAACTGCTAGGACCGATAAATATAATACATTTGTTGTATATAAAACTAGACTACCTACTACTATTTACTGTATATTATAATTGTACATGTACTAGTATTATACGATGTTTCCATTATTTGTGAATAGACGCGCGTCGTTGAGGGCGTGTTTGTTGTACATCCCATGAATCTCCGCGCAGCTGAGATGAGGTCACATGACCTTTGCCCTTATAGAATAATGAAATCAAGGTCTAAAGCTTTACTGGGTTGAGAGGCAGATAACCCATGATTTTGATGCGAATTTCGGGCGTAATTCGACCAAAGTTTCACGAAAAGATTTCAGATTACGATGTCCGGACCTGTAGAGCGATGGCTGGAGACGTTTATGTGCAAACAATACGCCGAAACATTTGAAAAGTGTGGTTACAAAACGCTATCGTCGGTGAGTCATAAACCTGTATTGTATCTCCCCGGTTTCTGATCGCTACGAATACTTATGTTTGCCGTGGTAATGATGTTATATATGTGCTGACGAGTATGTTGTGTTTATTCCTAACAGGTTTGTCAACTGGATAGGCATACATTGCGGTCCATGGGAGTTCTTGAAGAACACTGCGACAATATAATCGAAAATGTATCTGTACTGAGACAAACCATAGTGGGTACGTAGCGTTGTTTATTATACCTATATGAACATTCGACTATGTGATGTAGTCACTGCTGTGAAATACCCTCTGCTTTTACATAAGTGTATATAGGTGATCTCATATACCTGTTTATAATTACCTTTTTAAAAGAATTTACAATATAATATTAAAACTTCACTTTTTTCTCACTTCTCTCACTTGCTTTCATAGTCTCAATAAACACACGTGCTTCTATTTGCATACATATGCTCATCAGGCACAGAGCGTATTTATATATCTTGCTCATGTCAAACTGATAATAATCTTATCTTTCTCTTTTTTTCTCCTCTTTTTTTGTTTGTCCTGTTTGTATGATTCCTTATTCAGCAGGGACTGAATCGCCCAAGAATCGCACCTTCCCTGACCTGAGCACCTTGGCGACGGACGCCCCAGCTGCGCCCCAGGGGGAACCTTCACTTCCCGCTGTCCCCAATCCTGTTGTCAACCCTGCTAGTTCTGCTTTGCGTTCAGTGGCAATGAACTATCAGGGTAAGCATAAAATGTGCGCTTTTGTTGTCGTTCTCCTCTCTTTCCTTCTATCTTTTCCATCTGAACTCTGTCAACATGATTTTTGATTGCTATAACTGCAGTTGGCTTGAATCTCTTTGTAGGTAAAGCCAATCTGGATAAACAAGCAGGTTCATCATCATCTTTACCACCTTTCCAAAATTTCTCTGGTATGCCGGCCCGCCCACCCGGGCATCAGTTTTTCTCCGAAAACCAGCCATACAACCGAGGAGAATTCCCACATGGTCAGATGAGCACACCAAATCCACCAGGAAGTGGTGACGTGGTAAGACAATTGTTATTCAAATGTATTACTCTCTCTTTATGACATGATTCTACATCCTAGTAGTGGAAACAAGAACTTCTGTGTGAGTAGAAATTTTAAGTGTGAAACCACTACTTAAATTATATATAAAAAAACATTTTTTTTTCTCGCAAACCATTGTATAGCATAAGAGATTTATGGATAATGCAGCTATGATATGTCATTGGTTGATGTTAATAATAAAAAGATTAATCGAAAGTACAAAATATAAAATATTGTTTGGATATCAATTTGATACCACTAGTCATGCAGGATATGTGTCTCGGCGTACGCCAAGGTCCTAGGGACACAGATAACTCGTATTGTCAAGGCAATCAAGTTTGAATAATACTGCTATCATTAGTATAGACTGAGTGACAGCCAGTGTTACCACCATACTGTAATTACACACTCACCACGTAGAGTACATGTAGTATAAGTACTCAGGTTCTTATTAGCTTTGAGGCTTTGGGCTTGAACAAAACTGTTTGATTGGTTAAGTCACTGCCCCTCAGTGGTTGTGAAAGGAGCAGTGGCTTATTTGAATGGGGTCTATTTTTCAATGTTAGATTACTTTCCATATTAAGGTATTGAATTCAAATTTATTGTATTAATCCCTGAAATTGCACCATTGCATTGTGGGTCACCATTTAAGTAAAATGAAACAAATTTGATGTTTTTGGTAATGGTAAAAAAAATTACTACGTATGTAGGCAAGGATTTTTTTATTATACATTTCCCAATGAGTTGTACTCTTAGGTTTTTTTTTTGAGAACATAATCATTGTTTAACTACAGTTGTGAAAAATCTAAGTAAGTTTCCAGAATATATTCACTAGTTAGAAGTAAGTACATGAAATCAAAATATATGTCGTTATTAGCATGACCTGTGTTATGGTATATATTTGCATAAAATTAACATTTAGATTTTCCACACAAAATGGGTAGGTAACATAGGATTTATTTTATTTTGCCTTGTATATTTACATACTAATTCATTATAATCATACATGTATCTACTCTAAAATTAATATGATAAGAATGCTTTCTGTTTAATAATGCATATTCTTATTAAATCCTGATGATTGACAATTCCTTTGTGCAAGTTACTCTGATTTGGTGAGAAAATCGTGTTAATGGGATACACCTTACTACTATTACTGATCAACCATTTGTATTTTTAAAAACTTGTGAGAGTAACGGAAAAAATGCAAGTCATTTTGTAATTGAAGTGTTGTAGGAATTTAATACTGTGTTTATGTATTATAATAAAAAAACCTTCAGTCATTTCAGTCAAGCACCGGGAGCCCTGAGGCAACTACTGACTGGTAGCTGTTCATTTATCTCCTTTATGAATAGAATATCAGAGAGATTTGTGCCTGCTTACTAGTAAAGCAGGTACATTCTGTGCTAGTCAGCCAGTTGTTTGTTTGTTGGTTGATTTTTATCTCCACATATTTCAGTTTCAAAAGATTTATCATTAGCTGCACCCTTATTAAGGATTGTGCCCTCTAACAGAGTGTAGATTTGCAAGTCTATCAATAGTTCACAAGCTCCATTATAGTATTATATGTAAGACCCTTTTCATTTAACCATGGTTGCAAATATAATGTTTCAGATTTTGCATCACTGAATGTTTTTTAGGGCTTTCAAATGCTACTTACAACCCTATGACTATTTGTTTGGACTTACCTGAGTTGGTATTGAGGCTATTGACATGGAATATGTAGTGACAAAAACTGTGGATAAGTGTTACATATGTTAATACTTGATATCTGACAAGTAGAATTTTGGTGTAAAACGTAATCCTAATGTGACATGTGTGCAAGGCTCGATGCTAATGTTGGCCCTGGATACAAATTCAAGTTTTGGTTTGAGTCAATGAGAAAGTATCACCTCATTGTTTTTTTCATGCATTTGTAGTACTTGTAGCTTTTTTAATTTGTCTCTAAAAATACCCACCATAAGTTGATTTGAATTTTGCATTTGATTTTTTTTTAACAAATACATATGTGTATGATCCATAGACCTCAATAAATTTGTTTATCTGATTTAAATTAATTATTATTTTACAATTATTAATGCTTAGAAAATGTTTTAATGTGATTATAAGCTCATAGTTTTTCAATTGTTTTAATTATTTCTATTAATTAATCAAAGTTTGTACAAATTTATTGTGATGGATGGACTATGCAGTTATTGAGACTTTACCTTACTTATAAGATCATTTGCACATATTTAGTTGATTCTGAATTTTAAAAAAAAATTATAGATGGCCAAATAATGTAATTTATGCTCTGTTTTTTTTTTTTTTTTTTTTTTGCTATTTCTCAGTCATGCTCTTCAGTACCTTCAGCACAATAGATACATGTCTTTTAGATAAAATTAGTGACATCAAATATTTTTTTGCCTTCCTTGTATTGAGCATCAAGTAGTACTTGTATGTGAAACAAATTGACAAGCTTCTCTTTGTATTTCTTCTTCTAAAACTGCCCATTACAGTCCTTATATCAAACATGCTGTGTATAACAGAGGACTAAAATGATGATTTTATTGAAATAATACACACTACAAATATATATAGTTTATTTTAATCCTGATTTACAACCCAGCATGTTACTGCTCTTAGTACTGTATTGTAGCTATATAAATTGAAAAAGCTAGGTCAGATTCAGTTTTAAAAAGTATGAAATAATATTCCTACATAGTAGCTTACAAAATAATATAATCTGTATAGATTATTACAATTATTTTATTATTTCCAGACTCATGCTTGGCTGCGATACAACTGTCTGCTTTTAATGTAGTGTAAAGGTCAAAGGTCGGAATGAAATTAATATCTACATTAGCTGTGTGGCAGTCAATTATTAGGCTGTTGGCATTTTCCTAGTAGCTGAGTGACAGCTTTCTATACATTTCCCCTCATTTCCTACGTCTGTCCAAATTATATTTATTAGTTGTATTCCAGACAGCAGCCACATTTATTCAGCTACCTTGTGTCTGCCTGTGTTGTGTGGCTATAACGGATCATACAGTAGCGTATTGGTTGTTGTCTCCACAGGGTACTACCGTTACACACATCACCACTGTGAAAAAATAATAAAATCCTTTTTTATTATTATTATTATTAACAATAACTAAATGTTGTCAACCCAGACACTGATGTAAGACTAATGAAATATTATATTCCATTAATGGATGAATAATGGTGGACTGTTATCCTAAATAAAGCTTGTTTTTGTTTCTTGAAGTTAAAAAAAAAGTATATTGTGTTATCACATTGTCAACAACAGGACGGATATCTAAAATTATTTTAATATTGAATGGGGATGATGAAATTATTGCTTGTCTGTTTGTAGTAAACACCGTTAGTGTTAATCATCTTTCTTTTCTATATTGGTAGTGGGTGGGGGTTGTGATTATACCAATATGATTCATTTTAATTTTTGTCTGCCTTTATTGTGTATATATGTACAGTTGGGGAATGTATACTTTTTGTTAAAGTAAATGATGATTGATAGGTAACATGTGCTTATGCAGTACAGATGTAGATGATATGACCTTATCTGACCCCTGTATTGTTGAATTTCCTGGTCTAGCTATCATTTCTTCATTCATGTTTCTACACCAGAGCTTTGATGTCACTGGCAGGATGTGATCATTATAATTTGTCTACGCCTACTCTGTAAATACACCTAGAAATCTGGTATACAGTGCCATATTAATTTCTTAATATTAATATAATATGTTGATGCTGATATATTATGTATTGATTCATCATAATATTGCATTAAATATGAAAATAATTACTAATAATATGAGCAAGCCTAATGTGTATGATACTGTATACCACTTCAATTTTCTGAGTCAGTAAAAATATGTGAAAATTTGTAGCAGTGATAATTCACTGGAGGATTAAAGACATCATCATAGTGACTTTTGCAAATATTTATTCTTGTACATTTTGTACATGCAATTAAATCATCCCATCTTGAAAACTCCTAGTCTGGAAAATTATGTATAGTACAGTATAGTACAGTATATTGATATGCACCCAGCAATAGGACTGGTTTCCATATAATTAGCATATTAAATTTGTTTTCAATTTCCAATGTACCACAAATTAATTCACTGGAGACCCTACTCAAGCAAATTCAGATTATTGGCAGAGGTTTTCTTAAATAAGTCAATCTACTTCCTGTTTGTACATGTGTTGTGTCATTAAAAAAAACAGTATGTACTCAAAGACATCATTCATTTGAGGTTTGTTTAATAAATAAATTAAACTACTGCTAAAAATAATTTATTTTAAAAATATCATATGTAAAATGCATTATTTATATACAGCATGCAGCATGTAGTTTATTTTAAGCTGTTGTGAGCAGGGACATATTTTTATCATGTGGCAGCTTTTGTATCTAGATTGGGTGCAGTATGCTTAATATTGCTAAATTTACTTCCAAGTATAATTATATATTATATATACATGTAGTACTATTACAATGGCTAGTTTGGAGAACTTGCAATTCATATGTAAATTACCAGGCAATCGGATTACATGCGTACCAAACCTGTAATAACATGCACAAACCCTAACTGTAGATAATATGTTGACATGTATTATGGTAGTATGAGTTGTTTTCACTGGTTTATGTCAATATCTGTACATTGTCACTGCTGCAATCATGCTGCAATATAAGCACAGTAGACAACATGTTCTTTTTTATTGTTTCATGATTTGTGCTATGGTATATGCACACATAACATAAAAATAACACAAATAATTGTTACAATTTATATTCAGATACATGTATCTTCAGCAATCTCAACTGTAAATGGCAACTTTACATGTAAGACACATTGTAATCAAGTATGATCTCCCTTGACAGTTTATTCCTCTCCTGGCTTATAGCTTATAGCTTATTTGTGTCTCTATTGACTACCACTGTATTTTGTCCTCTTTGAATACTGGGCAGGCCTCTG